ACCCATTGTCCTTCCCCTCATTGTCCTTGTCCATGGGTCCTTTATACATGTTCCTTGACAACCCTTCCCCTTCTTTCCTCTGGTATCCCCTCCTACCTCCTCTCTGGTTACTGTCAGTATGTTCTTTATTTCAATGACTTTGGTTATATTTTGCTTGCTTGTTTCTTTCGTTGATTAGGTTCCAGTTTAAAGGTGAGATCATATGGTATTTGCCTTTCACTGACTCACTTATTTCACTTAGCATAATGTTCTCCAGTTCCATCCATGCTGTGGGGAAGGGCAGGAGCTTCTTCTTTCTTTCCACTGTGTAGTATTCCATTGTGTAAATGTACCACAGCTTTTTGTTCCACTCATTTACTGATGGGCACTTAGACTGTTTCCAGCATTCGGCTATTGTAATTTGTGCTGCTGTGAACATTGGGGTGCATAGGTTTTTTTGAATTGGAGTTTCAGGGTTCTTAGGGTATAATCCCAGCAATGGAACTGCTGGATCAAAAGGCAGTTCCATTTTTAGTTTTCTGAGGAAATTCCATACTGTTTTCCATAGTGACTGGACCAATCTGCATTCCCACCAACAGTGTACTAGGGTTCCCTTTTCTCCACAACCTCACCAGCACTTACTGTTTCTTGATTTATTTTTAATGGCCACTCTGACCAGTGTGAAGCGTGTTTCAGTGTGGGTTTTTTTTTAAGATTTTATTTATTTATTTTTAGAGAGAGGAGAAGAGAGAAATAAAGAGAGGGAAAGAAACCTCAATGTGTGGTTGCCTCTCACAGGTCCCCAACTAGAGATCTGGCCTGCAACCCAGGCATGTGCCCTGACTGGGAATTGAACCCGGCAATGCTTTTGGCTCCCAGACCTCAATCCACTGAGCCACACTGGCCAGGTCTCAGTGTGATTTTAATTTGCATCTCTCTGATGGCTAGTGATGCTAAGCATCCTTTCATATGTCTCTGGGCCCTCTGTATGTCCTCCTTGAAGAAGCATCTGTTCAGGTTCTTTGCCTATTTTTTAATTGGGTTGTTTGTCTTCCTAGAGTGTAGTCATGTGAGTTCTTCATATATTTTGGAGATCAAACCCTTGTCTGAGGTATCATTGGCAAATATATTTTCCCATATGGTTGGTTCCATTTTCATTTTGCTGATGTTTTCTTTAGCTGTGCAGAAGCTTTTTATTTTGATGAAGTCCCAGTTGTTTATTCTTTCCTTTATGTTCCTTCCTCTACATGATATATCAGTGAAAATATTGTTGTGTGGAATATCTGAGATTTTTTTTGCCTATGTTCTTCTCTAGGACTTTTATGGTATCATGACTTATATTTAAGTCTTTTATCCATCTTGAGTTTATTTTGGTGTATGGTGTAAGTTGGTGTTCGAGTTTCATTTTTTTTGCATGTAGCTGTCCAGATCTCCCAACACCATTTGTTGAAGAGGCTATCTTTACTCTATTTTATGCTCCTGTCCCCTTTGTCAAAATTAATTGACCATAGAGACATGGGTTTACTTCTGGGCTCTCTATTCTGTTCCATTGGTCTATGTGTCTGTTCTTATGCCAGTAGCAGACTGCTTTGATTACAGTGGCCCTGTAATATAGTTTAACATCAGGTATTATGATCCCTCCTACTTTGTTCTTCTTTCTCAGAATTGCTGTGGCTATTTGGGTCATTTATGGTTCCATATAAATTTTTGAGATGTTTATTTAATATCTGTGAAATATGTCAGTATTTTAATAGGGATTGTATTGAATCTATAAATTGCTTTGGATAGTATGGATATTTTGATGATGTTAATTCTTCCAATCTATGAACACAGTATAAGCTTCCATTTATTTTGTGTCTTCTTTAATTTCTTCAGTGTTGTATAGTTTTCTGAGTACAGGTCTTTTACTTCCTTGGTTAGGTTTTTTCCTAGGCACTTTATTTTTCTTGTTGCTATGACAAATGAAATTTTTTTCCTGATTTCTGTTTCTGACATTGCTTTGTTGGTGTACAAAAATGCCTTTGATTCCTGAATATTGACTTTGTATCCTGCTGTTTTGCTAAATCCACTTATTAGGTCAAGTAGTTTTTTGGAGGAGTCTATAGGGTTTTCTAAGTACACTATCATGTCATCTGCAAACAATGAGAGTTTTGCTTCCTCCTTTCCAATTTGGATGCCATTCATTTCTTTTTCTGGCTAGAACTTCCAGTACTATGTTGAATAGAAATCATGGAAGAGGGCATCCTGGTCTTGTTCCTGACATTAGAGGAAAGCTTTTAGTTTTTGCTCATTGAGTATGACGTTGGCTGCAGGTCTCTCATATATGGCCTTTATTATGTTGAGATATGCTCCATCTACTCCCACTTTCCTGACTGTTTTTATGATAAATGGGTGCTGTACTTTATCAAATGTGTTTTTGTATCTATTGATATGATCATGTGATTTTTGTCTTTCCTTTTGTTTATGTGAGAAAAACCTTAAATGCATATTACTAAGTGAAAGAAGCCAATCTGAAAAGGCTACATATTGTATAATTCCAACTATATAACATTCTAGAAAAGGTAAAACTATGGAAACTGTAAAAAGATCAGTGGTTTCCAGGGTTGGGCGTGGGGGTGATGAATAAGTGGAACACAGAGGAATTTTAGGGCAGTGAAAATACTCTCCATGATATTGTAATGGTGGGTGCATGTCATTATAAATTTGTCCAACCTCATAGAATGTTCAACACCAAGAATGAAGCCTATTGTAACTTGTGGGTGATGATGATGTGTCAGTGCATGTTCATCAATTGTAACAAATGTACCACCATGTTACAAGATGTTGATAATGGGGGAGGCTATGCATGTGTGTGAGCAGAACATATATGAAAAATCTCTCTTAATTCTGTTATGACTGTTAAACTGCTTTAAAATAGTTTTTAAAAAATAACTTGGGGCTTTGTACCACCCTCAAAATAAATAGGAAATTAAATTTCAACCTGTTGTTAAATAACTATTTCTTATGACATAGAGTTTATGTTGCCAATTGATTTTTCAGAAAAGTAAATTTTCTGACTCATATTAAAATTATATTATAATTATAATATAATTAATATATTATATTAATTATATTATATTATATTATATTTATAAATGTACTATTTCTAAATATAATATTAAATTATATTATAAAAACTGCATAAAATTATAATACCAACAATGTTTTATTAAATAATTATTATTAAAATAAATAAGTGGCTACTGTGTGTTTTGTATGTGATTCTCACTACAACTCTGACTTATTCTAGTCTCATAGTACAGGTGAGAAAACTGACACATTCCTTAGTTTTCAGATGGTCCATTAACATTTCCTACTATGTAGGGATTCTGCATTGACAACACCGTGGCACCAAGCAACTTCACTTTCTAATGGATAAAAGAATGACCTCTTTAAATTTAGTGTAATCCTTTCTTGGCCAAAAGAATTTATGCTTTCAACTCAACTCAAAGTCTTTGAGATTCCTAATAGAGAAGAAGTAGGTAGGGCACATGATAAAAGAGGCAGATTTCATCTAATAGTACACTGTCTAAGAAGATGGATTGGAAGCATTAAGAGCTAATAACACCAAAGATTTTCTTTGCTAAGTTATCTTTTATACATTAATTATACAGAAGAACCTACTTAAATGGATACTCTCTCCATAGAATATTTCTTTTAAGGGAGGGTTCTTTTCCTTACTCTGCACTTCAGTTGGGTGATGTTATCACAGAGTTATCAGGGAGATAAGTTGATATTGTAAAACAAAGTGTATCTCATTTGTAGTATAAGCGGATTCATTTGACCAACCAATGAATCATCACTCTATAGGATACTGTGACACTGTGATATAGTCAAATCATCCCTGTCTCTAAGCTGCTCTGTAGCTTTAAGTCAGATATCTATGAAAACTGCTTAACTTTGCAAAATTTGAGATACTCTTATGTATGCTTCTACCACACCGTACAAGGTAATATGGCCCTATAATCTCTTACTTGATATTCATTTTTAATATCATTCATAAATAGACATTACCTGATGTGTAAAACCAACTTGAGAATCTTTCTTGTTTCTCTGTATCTCCATTAAAGACAACAGTATTCAAATAACTAAGTAGAACAATATATATTATCTCTCAAACTTAAAACTCTTTTATTTTCATTTTCTCTAATTTCTAGGGTAATATTTGAATCTAGTCTTATTAGTGTACACATCTTGTGTGGATGACAATTGGATACATTTACTTTATTAAAAAATTATTTGTTATTTTTAAATCGTGGTCAGAGGAATAAATATCAAGGGATTGACTGCTATATACCCATGCTGTGCCTGGCCTGTTAGTCATATTTCATTTAATTTTTCCAACTGGGAGCTAAAATAGACCTGTCTTAAGTTACTTGCCAACAACTTCCTATTTGCTTTCTATATAATGAAAGAATGAGAAAATGTAGTTATTTCCTATTTGCATGATTTTTTGTTCTCCTGCAGCTTTCCTAAATTTGTATCTTGTTTATACAATCATTTTTTCTTTTTCCTGAATGATGTGTTTTTACCATATTTCCAGTCATCACACATCTGTCATCTGGTCCTAGATTTTGCTGGCCTTCTGCCCACCTGTATGGCTGGTTCAGAGCTCACAACTATGGAAAGTGAATTCTATTTTCTTGATAAGCATTGCTATTACCTTATTTGACTTTACTTCCTCCTTCTTAAAGTTTTTGTAATTATTTTTTTCTGGAAGTTAATTGGTTGGTTCCCTTCTAGCCCTTACTTGTTATCCTTCATCACTTCCATCTAGAGTTTTCTTTCCTTTAAATCAAACAGATTCTTTCATTTTGCTATGAACATAGTCAATGGTCAGAAAATTTGATGCTTACATTCACTGAATCCAGTAAAATAAGTTCACAGACTTTCTTTAATACTACACACACACACATGTGAGCATGCATGCACACACATTACATTAAAATAAATCAATATAAACCATTTGAATTCTCTTTCAGAAACATGACGGCCACTTTACAGTCATCCAGCTGGTTGGTATGCTTCGAGGCATTGCATCAGGAATGAAGTATCTTTCCGATATGGGTTATGTTCATCGGGATCTAGCAGCTAGGAATATATTGGTCAACAGCAACTTAGTATGCAAAGTTTCTGATTTTGGTCTGTCCCGGGTGCTGGAAGATGATCCAGAAGCTGCTTATACAACAACTGTAAGTTTACCTGTTCTTTTCCAATATAGTATGTTTGTTTGCTTTAATTGTTTTTAATGTCACTAAAATAATTCTGTTTTTGTTTGCCTAATTTTCTGCTCTCATTTGTCATTTTCCTGATTTAACATCGTTATTTAATTGAAAAATATTTATTTTATCTGAGTGCCTGATTAAAACAAGACAAAACCTTCTTATATTTAACTGTCTTATTTCTTCCATTGTAATGGGACTTTGTTTTAACATAATCAGGTTTTTTAAAGATTTTTATTTATTTATTTTTAGAGAAGTAAAAGGAGGGAGAAGGAGAGGGAGAGAAACATCAATGTGTGGTTGCCTCTCATGGCCCCCACTGGGGACCTGGCCCACAGCCCAGGCATGTGCCCTGCCTGGGAATCGAACAGGCGACCACCTGATTTGCAGGCCAGCACTGAGTCCACAAGCAACACCAGCCAGGGCTATTTTAACGTAATGATAACATCCATACCTTCACACAAATCTGTCCTTGCCTGAGGTATTTTTGATATTTTGGTAATTATCTCCTTTAAATAGAGTTCTGTGCATTGAAGAATGGTGCAGTCAATTAAGTCAGTGATAGTGAAGAGCCAGTGGTTATGAAATGACATTTTTGTCCTCACAGCAAATGTTATGGAATAATCTGATCATACTTAAAAATGAACAATGTGTATAGGTTTCTCTGTAGACAGGTAAGTACACTCTAATCCTTTATTTGAATGATACTTGGGGAAAATGTGAGCCAGAATAAAAGGCTAAAACTTTAGAAACAAATTATCACACGTAAGTGATATGACCTCAACATAAGTTGAGAATATATTACTTAGGCATTTCTTAATGCCTTAAAACCATGTCATCCCATTCATCATTTTGGTGATTGTTTTAAGGAATTCAGTCTCAAAGTCTCTCTTCTGTTATCTTAAAGCTAATAACTTATATAACCATACTATATTCTGTTATGTTTAAATGAACCCCTTACCAGTGGCTCATTTGATAGCTTCAATGAAAAATAAGTCAGCAAAATTATTCTAGATATTTTATTCTCTTCTCTTTTTCTGGCCTTACACATTACTTTACAAAAGGGAAATCCATTATTTAGTTCCCTTTTATTTCATTTTCTGTGAGAATCTTTTGAAACTTCACTGTAAAAAATTACTTCATACTGGATACATGTTTAATATTATGAATGAAACAGGTTATGCCCTTACTATGTTTGCTTTGCAGAAATGCTCCATATTAATGAATCAATGATATTTTCATTAATTTCTCTAACAAAGAAATATGGTTCTAATGAAAATAAGTCAATCTCTTAGAGTCTAATGTATAAGGTAACACTATCTATTGATCTTTTAATTTAACCAAAAAGCTTCATAAAATAAGTCTATCAAATCTGAAAATAAATTGTATACTTTAGAAATGAACAGTATTTTAAATCCATTTGTAATTGGAAAGGTCATAATTATTTTCTCTAAGAACTTTATTTTCTTCTCTTTTATTTTTATAACTGTATAACTTGAAGCAACTTTTCAAGTTATGAAACAATGCAGCTAAGATTTTCCTCTTATGCATGTTATTTACAACCTTGGAGAATAGTGTTTAAAGTTATATAAGTATTATAAAGCATATGTTTATAAAAATGGCAACAAATACTAGCTACAAAAAAATAAAGATAGGAAATAATTAATAGGAAATAACTACTAGGCTCTTTCTATGCTTATATAGATGTACTTGAAATCCCTTATTAAATAATCCTTCAACTGCTTTTTAAAGAGGGAGGCTTATAACTAAATTTAAGGTACTAATAAAATTGGCAGAGTAATCAAAATTTTAAAGTATATATATGTTTGGTTGGGTCAGTTTTGACTTATAAATTCCAGGAATATTCTCTGTCTTATATGATTATAGAGACTGAGAGGCCTAGAATGGTGCTATTTTAATTTAAGTTTGACTACAGAATTAAACATAAAATTAAGTAACCAGTATATTAACACTCCAAAAAGTATCTCTTAAAAGCTATATATTATGTCTCAATTAAGAAATGTCTCTGAATTTAATAGGTATCAATTAAATGGTGAATAATGTCACCAAGCACATTTTTTAAAAAATATCAGAAATACCTAAATGCTCAGAGGATCCTGGGGTACAAACTATCATACACCAGTTACTTGAATTTATAATGAACATGGACATTCACTGCTTAAACTGACAGACCTCTTCCCTTCAAAGGGTTTACCCTGTGTCAGTGCAGACAGTGCTTCCTTGCATTAAGTGTTGTCCTAACGGTCTGAAAAAGAAATATGGAAGTAGCAAAAATGCACAAGTCTGAAGAAGTCTTCACAAAAAAGATAAAATTTGAAAAAGTATTAAAAGATTCCATTAAGCAGAGAATTGGGGGAAAGGTCTGAGTACAGGAAACAGAAAGATAAATAGGTACAGAAATTTGGAGGAGTGAATGGTCACAGTGATGGAAATGTGAATAGTTTGGAATGGGGGTGAAGAGCAGTGGAGTGGCCAGATTGTGAAGGTAGTTAGATGATACTTCAAGGTTTTTCTATAGGCATTAAGAGACAGACATGGACTGATTTAAATAGGGGAATCAAATGCATGTACGTCTTAGAAGCTATCAGTAAAAACAGTATGAAGAAAGGTAGAGGAGGGGAAGGTAAAAGACAGGAAGGGTGAGAAGCAGAGGGGACAGAAGGGTAGCAGAAGGGAGGAAGCACAGGAGGACTGGTTACCAGGAGACCCGTTAGGGCATTACCACTATAGATCCGAAAGGCTATATGGCTTTAGGTCACAGGTACTCTGTCTCAAAGTCATAACATAATGCTAGATTGAACACTGGCATTCTGATGAAATTCTGTGTAAAATTTTTTGGACTTTATATAAATATACTTAGGCACTAAATTTTTTATTTTCTGTTAAAATGAATGACAGGGTTAGAAAACTGCCTAGTGAACATATATCTCAATTCAAGCAAACCCTGAATAATAAAATACTGAAAAAGAATAGCCATTTATTTGAAAATGATTCTTTGTTTTATAAAAACATTTATATAAAAATATCTTGAAAGAGCAAGCTCCCTTGATATATGTTTTTGAAAGTATGATTTCATTTTCTACATTCATGTTTGTTAGAACATATCTTTTACCATAAATGATTTTGATTTTTTTTCTCTTGCTGTGTAAGTATAATTTCTGTTTCCTCATTATTTATAAATGGTTTTATAATCTGTGTTTAAGAAGGGTTAAGAGGAAAGGGAGGATTGTGGAGGGCTTTAAAAATAAGAAAACATCATGGATAAAGATTATATTTTATAATCTTCAAGAAAATAATTCTTAGAAGAGTACTCAACATGGACATTTCCATTAAGATGACTTTACCAATGTAGAGAACCATGTATCACAGAAAAGAGCAGTAAGAACTGGTTAAAAAATAGGCTGGAAAGATGGAGTGAGCAATGTGAATCAAGAACAGGTTATTGTCCTGAGCAGGTCAGTCAGCATGTAGCAGATGGATAGGATGGCCATTGGAGCCAGAGTGGCCAGACCCGACAATGATGTGACAAGATAGATTACCCTGTCAAATGCTGCTGAGCCCATGAGCACTCTGTTTAGAACGTGTATACATTAATATATATGAACATATTATCTACATTATAAAATACACTGAAGAAAATAAAATGATGTAATTTATGACTACACATAAACAGAAATCTCTCCCTACAGCTTAAGAGTGTTTTGCATACCCTGCATCAGATCTAAGACCTAGTCATTCAGCATGTATGCAGCCCCACTTATTGTGGAGTGAATAAGGCCATTTTTCTTGGAGGGCCAATAACCAGAAATAAAAGGATTCTTTTTTTAAGAGTTTTTTAATTAAATTTATTGGGGTGATATTGGTTAATAAGATTGCATAGGCTTAACATGTACAATTCTATGATACATCATTTGTATATTGCATTGTGTGCTCACCACTTCAGTCAAATCTTCTTTCATCACAATGTATTTGACCCTCTTTACCTTTTACTACCCCCTCTCCCATTCCCTTTGGTAGCCACCATGCTGTTGCCTGTGTCTGAATTTTTGTCATAAAGGGAATCTTGAGAATGGATAAATGACTATACAGAGAGAAAACCAAGAGTAAAAAAATACAGTTAAGCATAATAAAACCAATAGATGTACAAACACGAAAATAGCATGAAGGCTACAAGACTAGTAGCAGATTTTCCTGGTAAGCCTGTACTAAAATATATGTATGTCAAGCCTTTGCAAAGGGACCTTAAGAACTTGTAATGACATGAAAACTAAGAAATATGCATTGTGGGCTAAAGATAGAAGGAAAAAAACTCTCATAAACATGATCTAGATGAGGATGAGGCCTTGCTTTTTGTGCCAATTCTATGAAAGTATACCAGGCATTCAGGGGAGATTGCTGAGTGATTATGAACCACACCTAATGATACATATACAGTTAGTGATGTAACATAATCTGCATGAAATTTTCTGAGTTTCAATTATTCTCATTTGATTACATGATGTGGCTGTAATGCAGATGCTAAGAAATCTCTTCCTTTTCTGAATCTGCCCCACATTTACATGGACAACTACTGTATATCCTGTGGCAGAGCAGGGACTCTCCTTTGAATATTGCTAAGTCACCAGTCTTAAACTTACACTGAAATGTTAAGCTTCTTTGCTCTCAAGAAGGGAAATGAGGTCTTATTTACCTAAAAAGTACATTGAAAGATGTATTCTGGCTCACACTTATCCATTAGAAGAGATAAGTTTTATTTAAAATATAATGCCAGCTACTGTTCAGATATTTTAATTATAATGAATAACTCCTCTTATATTATAAAAATCAAAATAAAATTAAAGAATCAGTTTATCATAATATCTGCTAAAAATTAAGATTCCTTGAACCTAACTTTCAATTATGTTTATTTTGTATTATTCAGGGCAAATTTTGCTTTTGAATTTGACCAT